TTCTGGAGATGTGGTTAAGCACCCCTAGGTTCGATCCCCAGTATAGGGGATGGGAAGGGGAACTAATATTGCAATTCCATCACCACTGGGAATAAAGTGTTTTTATTTACAAACTCCCTGCTCCACTTTGGTGCTATAACCTAACAGATGAGACCTGAAAGAGATGAGCTGCCAATGGACTTTCATTTAGAAGGTAGGCTGAAAATACACTGACAGATGAAGCCTATTTAGTAGAATTTGAAGCAGTGGTTCCCAGGAGAAAGGAACATCTGCCACAATAAAAACCATTATCCCTGTGGTTAGAAGGCAGAATTCTTCCACTTAAAGAGACAATCTCTAGGTTTTCCTTCTTCTTTCAATCATAATATCACTCAATTTGCAAAGTGTTTTTATACCCACTTTCTCATTTTTATTTGTTTCTGATCTTTATAACATCCTTGAGAAACAAGTATATGAAGTATTATTTGTATCATTTTCAGATTAAGAATACCAAAACTCAGACAATTTATGTACCTTGTCCAAAGTGAGATAAATTACTTATTTTCATCTGGGATTTGAACCCAGGGCCTTGTGCATGCGAGGCAAGCACTCTACCAACTGAGCTATATCCCCAGCCATCATCTCTCTTATAAACATATATGTTATCACTTCATAATTTCTTTCATTTTTTCCTTTGAACCTCTTGATTTTTAAGTCTATCTCTACCTCTCTGCCCACACTGTCTTCCTAATTCAACTGAAATCAGGAACTATTACTTGCCTGATCTATGGCCACCAGCCTCTGAAGAACTATCATTTTCACATGAACTTAATTAGGACATGTGAGAGTAATTTAGAAAAGTCACATCGAATTTACAGACTTTAATAAGCAATTATATAAGACCATCAAAATGGACAAGAATCACTATCTGATTTGGATTAGGTCAATTCTGAAGGAACATGAAGCTATTAGTTCCAGATTACAGCCAGAATCCTTCTGCTCCTCATCACTTCCACTCCTAGACTGGATCACCCCTCATTTGAATTTCTTTGACAGCCTCCTAGCAGGTTATCCAGCTTCTACCCTTGTCCCCCACAGACCATTTCCAACACAGCAGTCTAGTGATCAAAACAAACTTCTATCATTCTTCTGCCCCAAATCTTACAATAGATCTTATTTCAATCAAATAAAAACCAAGATCCTTAAACCAGCTTATGAGTCTGTAAGTGATATTAACCCTTTTCTTGTGGAGCAACTGTCCCCCTTGCTGAATCCATGCCATCTCACTGGTCTTCTTGCTCTGCCTCTAAAACTGTAACATGCCAGGCACATTCTGCCTTGGGGCCTTTTCTCTCATTTCTCATATGCTTGGTTACTACTTCCCCAGGCATCTGTTCAGTGGATCCCCTCAACTCCTTCAAATTTTGGCTCAATTCTCAATTTCTTAAAGAAACAGTCTAGAATGCAGGTTGCCCACCTATTGCCCATTTGCATCCTTCGAACTTTGTTTTACGTGTTTTTTTTTTTTTTTTTTTTTTTTTTTTGGTAGCACTTATCGCCTCTTAACATACTATAATGTGTGTTATATTCATTGTTATCTGCTTCCCCCATCCCACCCCACAACCCTCCCTCCTCTTTGCTTGCTCTCTTGCTAGAATGCATCCAACAATATATAGAAAATACTGAAGCAGTGCCTGGCACATAATAGATATTCATTTTTGGACATCTGCTGAATAAATGATTGAGAAGTATGTGAACCTGGGTGGACTTTCCATCTTCCGGTTCCTTTTGCTTTCCCAATTCCCTCTCACAGTAGTAAACCAAGGATGCACTAAACAGATTTGCAGCAGCCATTCAGGAAATTATAATATTGCACATCTTTGAACTTTGGAGCCACTTTTATTAAAGAAGGAAACTTCCAATACTGTTACACCCTCCATATTTATTATTATTACACCTTTAAGAATGATAGGCAAATAAGATATGGCTTACTCTTTTACTCTGATCCTGTGTTAGTCAAAGGCCCCATAAGGACTTAATCCATATCTCTTCTTATCCAAATTCATAATCCTCATTTATTCTTGGCATTATTTTATACTCACACCCTAAACCTATGGACAGACAGGTCAATAGGGCCACAGTTAGAAGTTTATCAGGTGATTAGAACGAGGGTTTTGTCAGGTTATATCAAGGGTAGATAAAATTTTCTCTGAAAGTTGTCCTTTCATTGTTTCTTTTTGTTTATAGCTTTTTTGCCAGGGATCTCCCAATGTAAGTTCTATCCCATGATGAGGACGTCATCAGAGACTTTTCCCATCACTACCACCTCCACAACTTCTGGGAATAAAGAAGAAGAGAAAACTACAAGTACTGGTGATTTTTCTAGCCCTTTGACACAAGGTACAGAATAAGCAGAAATATAAAACAAGAACGAAGGAAATACTTTTAGCCCCAACATCAGTATGGGTTCGTAAGATTTTCCTGGAGTTTGAGAAGTTAGACTTTACATTTAAAAATCATTCAATTTTTTAATAATTATCTTCTCTATAAAGAAGGTCCCAGAGGGCTGGGGATGTGGCTCAAGCGGTAGTGCGCTCGTCTGGCATGCGTGCGGCCCGGGTTCGATCCTCAGCACCACATATCAACAAAGATGTTGTGTCCGCTGAGAACTAAAAAATAAATATTAAAAATTCTCTCCCTCTCTCTCTCCTCTCTCACTCTCTTTAAAAAAAAAAAAAAGAAGGTCCCAGAAATGTTTGTAGTTTGACGCCATCAATGAACCTTTACCTCCACACAAATGAGCTCATCGTGTAGCTATCATTGGGGATAGAGTAAGTTCTATTCATGTGGTGGATAATTCTAATCACTGCATGCATAGGTGGGTAATATTTAAATACTAAGTAATTATTTCAGTGGTGATACCAACCAACTGCATGTTTTCATCCTCATTGTTTTTAGAAACAACTTTCCCAGCCATGTGTGTTGGTGCACATCTGTAATCCCAACTGATTCGGAAGACTGAGGCAGGAGGATCATAATTTTGAGGCCAGCCTCAGCAATTTAGGGAGACCCTATCTCAAAATAAAAAAAATAAAAGGGGATGTGGATGTACTTCAATGATAGAGTGCCCCTGGGTTCAACCCTCATCACCACACACACATACATATACACACTTGAAATAAAGAAAGAAAGAAGGGAGGAAGGGAGGGAGGAAGAAAATAAATAGAAAAAAAAAAAGAAAGTCCTCTCTAAATTGTCTAGCACTCAAGTTTTGTAAGATTTGAATTCTGTAAATCTGAATTACATCCTAGATTCTACCAAAGGAAAAGTAAATATGAGATTAGAAATAATAAAATGCACATGAGCCATTTACCCCAGATTTGTTTTTTATCCAGAAGCAATGCCAATTCACCTTTGTTCCTCCTATAACCCACAAAAAACAAGAGAAGCACAGAAAAAAGGTGATTTTCTAATGTGTCAGAGAAAGTGGGTAGGGACTCTGAGAAGACTTGAGATGGAAAGGTAAAGCTTAGAACTCCTTGTGCATTCAAGCCTTCTCTTCCTCTAAGAATGCAAGAATCAGCCCTACATGATATGGAATCCCAAATACAGAGAAATGATTCGTTGGGTGTATGTTGCAAAAGAGGTTAGAGAAGAGACTATCGTGCCCATCCCACTCCTGATTCTGAGTCTAAAATGGAAATATAGCCTCTGCTTCTAAGTCAGGCTGGGTCTTTCTTAGTCTGGGAGCCAGGAGAACTTCAAGTCAAAGGGTCAATCTACTCCCTTACTCAAATTCTCTCTCTCCATTTAGTCACAGATGAGGACCTAGCAAAAAGGCAGAAATGGAGTATTGTGGTCAAATTTCTGATTGCTGTCACCCTGTTGGTCACTGGAGTTGCCATTATGATATTTGTCATTTTTGAAGTCCCATGCCCTGTAAGTTTGCTGGTATACTGGGTCCTGGGACTTGATCTTTAAAGACCTCCTTCTGTTCCAAAGGCAGCTTGGTTTAGTGAGGAAAGCAGACATTGGGGTTTTGATAAATCTGTCACTCACATTCAATAGCCAAGTGGTTTGGTTAAAGTTGATTGACTTCTCCTACTATAGTTGCCTCATCTGCAAAATGGGACTCATTTTCCTTGCATGCAGTTATTCATGTTATTAGAGCTCCTGTGTGAGAGGCACTTGACACATAGGAGGCATACACTCCATGTGAGTTCCTTTGACTACTGCAAGACTTCTCTAGGAAGGGTAGTTCTAACACAATGGTGGTATATACCTGTAACCCCAGCAACTCAGGGGGCTGAGGCAGGAAAATTGTAAATTAGAGGCTAGCCTCAGCAATTTAACGAGAACCTGTCTTAAAATAAAAAATAAGAAGAACTGGGAGCTCAGTGGTAGAGCACTAGTACTACAAAAAAGAAAAAAAGAGAGAAAAAAAAGATGATTTCCTTTAAATGTTCTGGCATAAGGTTTGGAAGATAATTAAATGTTTATCAGCCATCTAACCAAAGTTGATACCAGAGGTGCTGGGGATATAGCTCAGTTAGTTGAGTGCTTGCCTTGCATGCACAAGGCCCTGGGTTCAATCCCTAGCAGCACAAAAAGAGAAAAAGAAAGTTGATACCAGTCATTTTTCTCCTTCAGAGTCGATGCCTAGGAGCCAGAAGACTGTGCCAATGCCAGCAGCTGTGGAGAAGGCAAAAGAAGGGAGACCAGCACCCTGGGGCAGCTGAATCCCAGGCAGATTCTCAGCCTGAGAAGGGAGGTGTTCACTGTGTAGTTTATGTCATTTGTTTAGAGAAAACAGGATTAACATATAAGTGCAGGGAGGTTGGGAACTGCTTTAGTTATAAAGCAAATGTGGGTAATTTTTCTATATGTCAGATATCTGTACTGCTATTTTCCTAACATCAGTCCACTCATAATCCAATGAGATACTTACTGAAAATTCATACTTCTGGGGACAGATGAACTGAAATGTTGTCCAGGATGGTCTCAAAATCCTGGATTTGACAGGCATGGTGGTGCATGCCTGTAATCCCAGCAGCTTGGGAGGCTGAGGCAGAAGGATAGTGAATTCAAAGCCAGCCTCAGCAAAAGCAAGGCGCTAAGCAACTCAGTGAGACCCTGTCTCTAAATAAAACACAACAAATAGGGCTGGGGATGTGGCTCTGTAGTTGAATGTCTCTGAGTTCAATCTCCAGTACCAAAAATTAAAAATAAAATAAAATCCTAGATTAAAGCCATCCTCCTGCCTCAACTTCCTGAGTAGCTAGGACCATAGAGCTATGCCAACATACCTAGCTTATTTTTAAGATTTTTTTTAAAAGGTCCCTAAGTATAGGTGGATTTACTGTGAAATAAATGAAGCTTATGCTTCAGGACCCATGGACCCTGTTCAAAGCCATGCATCTGATTATGTACTTTTAAAATTTGTATTTCTTCTTTAAGAAGGCTCCCCCAAATTTTAAAATCTTTAGAATTCACAGATGTATTCATCCTGTCCTTAGGTAACTCTTCTTTTTTTCCTTATGGTATTGGGGATTGAACCCAGGGTCCACGTATGCTAGATAAGAGCTCTATCAGTGAGCTATATCCCCAGCCCCAGGTGATTCTTATGTAAAGCAAAATTTAGGTACCACTCTTGAACACAGTTTGAAGACTTGACATTGCAACTTTCTTCTTTTTCTTGTCTCTGGGTTTCCTGACACAATTATAAATTAATAGTGCCCTTTGGTTGAAACAGACACCATACCACTGGCTCAGCATGGAAACTTTTAAATATATTTCCCACCAGGAGTAGACTTGGCCTTTCAATATGAGATATTGCTGGACACCTTCTTCAAGACAAATAATGTTCCCTAAGGCAAACAGGCTTTAAACATTATTTTATTCACTTATTTTTATGTGGTGCTGAGGATTGAACCCAGAGTCTCACATGTGCGAGGTGAGTACTCTACCACTGAGCCACAACCCAGCCCCCTAGGCTTTAAAAATTAAACAAGCCTTTAAAAATTAAACTTTTGTAGAATTACAGCATTGATAATAGTCTCAAAGATTATCTAGTTCAGGATGGTACACATACTGCTACTCTTCCATTCTACATCAAGTGCATATGTCAATAATCAAGCACAGCACTCTTTCCACTCAGACCTGGCATTACAATTTTCCTTATCACAGTGCTACAGGTACCCACTGCCAATTTCTTGGTGAACTCTGGCCTAGGTTAATATTTTCTCCTAATATTAGGTGATAATCCTATACAAATAGCATGATTTTATAATATGGTATAGCTTAGTTCTTTACTCCACATTATCATTTCTACTGAATATCGGCAGAAATAGGCTTGAAGGGGACAACAACATCCAGCTCAGAATTAGAGGTAATCATGTAGCAGCTACTTGGATTGAACTTCTATGAATGTAATAGGCTACTGAATGAAAAGGGGATGAAAACAGTAATAAGGTAGCAATTTTATACACATAATTTCATTTTTTTCTCACAAAAATTCTGGGAGGTAGCCAGGATAGGTAGCTGCGTTGTACTGATACTTAATTAGAAGGTTAGAGAGGATATGTGACTTTCTCAAGGTCACAAACACTGGTAGAAACAGAACTAGAATCCATGTTTTTTAATTGCTACACTAATATTTATTAAATTCTTCATCTAGTCCATAAAATTTTATTGAAAACCTGAGTGTCTGCTTCCCTGTTTTAAAGATGTTTACAATCTAACTGGAAAGAAAAATATTTGATTAAAAAATCATAATTATGTTCATAACAGCATAATAGGCACTTAGAAAACTTGATGGCGCCTGGGGTCAGCTATGGTGAGTGTGGAATGAGATTATTAAAAATATTTGGCCAGACGCAAAAATCTCTGTTCAAATCTCTGCCTCTTTTCAAAACAAAATGAGATTGTTTGGGCCTGATTCAGGAATGAAGCAGAATCCCTGAAGCATCTTGGATCCAACCTAGTTGCATACTTAGGGCCTTTTCCATTCAAGGCAAACAGATCAAGCAAAGGGTGAATGGCACTTTGCTAGTGGGCTATAATTTTCATTCATATGTGTACCTTCTTCATACTTTCTATGTAATTATTGGGTAACGAAGAGGCAAATTGAAGTGTACTTGGAATTATATGGGGTTTTGTACTTAGCAATCCCTTTGTTGACATATCTTTCATTATCCTTTATATTTCCCTTCAATCTTTAGGTTGGACAAGACATTCCTAACTCATCAAATGCGAAGAAAACTACAGGAATTACTATTATCCACCAGACATACTTTTGAAAAATTCTGTTCTAAATTAATACACTGTTTCTTCTCCACTGTTTCCTCCCTATTATTAGTCAATATGGGCAGATTCTTGCCAGTGTTACATTTATATCTTCATGGGGTGGTGGGGCATTATCATCAGTACTGCCAGGTCAGGGAAGGAAGAGCCTGGACTGAGCAGTTACCCTCAGGACACTGCTACTGACGTTGCCACAAACCTCTGTGATTCACTTTGGATGTCCATGAAAATGGTTATCTTTCCATTCCATCAAATGAAAACAAAGGCCTTCCCTCTAAGTACTATGAATGGATCTTATTGCTCTCTTTGACAAAAGACTTAAACACAGCCTCCAAGAAACTGGGCAAGGCAGCTGGTAGTGTGGCACACATCCCAACTCCTCTGTTATCCTCACAGCTGACTTCCTGCTCACTGGCTGTCATTGAGCTTACAAACTAATGTCCTGCTCTTTCAGAATAATGTCCACAGGTTTTATGATTTACCCTCTGCCACTGCATATGGCTATCAACACACTGGTGAAGGGAACTTGACCCTACTCATTCCAAAAGCCCTCCTCATAAGTCATTCCCAAGGGGCTTAGAGACTGCAGACTCAAGTGAAGTCTCCTCACAATCCAGAATTCCTAAAGTGAGTCTGATATATATTTTAATTTAGTAGTGTGCTACATACAGTTTGGATAAGGATTCCAGAGCAGAATGATTATGACGACGATAGAGGTGCAGCTGTGAGTGGAGTCTGACCTGCCTAAGCAAGAGTTTGGTGAGAAAGTGGAAACAGCTGAACTTAAAGAAGTGTTTAAGTGGAAAAGGGAATGGTGGATGTTAGCCTGCTTCTTTTCATAAGATTCTGAAACTATTTCATTTTGGTGATATGTGCCTGCTTCTATGTAATTCTGTTTTCTTAGTTCTCTGTTGGAAGCCATACATACATTGTATTCTTCTTTCTTTCACTTCAAATACTGTCCAAAAAATGATTCTCAAAACTGTACTATAATAGCAGAGGAACAAGCTGAACCTGGAAGAGACAGAAGAGACAAAAGCATGGGTGATGTCATGTTTTGGTGAAGCACTAAAGAATCTCTGAAGATCCACAGAGCACACTTGGAACATATGGCAGACAGAAAGGACAGAACACTGGTGTGGTCTCCGGATAAATACATTACACCCTGCCACCGAATCACAACATCACCTTAAGTTTATCCTGCCATCTCCTATTATTTAGTTTGACCATAAAATAGGAGGAAAGTGGGGCTGGGGATGTGGCTCAAGCAGTAGCGCACTTGCCTGGCATGCGTGCGGCCCAGGTTGGATCCTCAGCACCACATACAAACAAAGATGTTGTGTCTGCCGGAAAAAAAACTAAAAAAAAAAAAATATTAAAAAAACAATAGGAGGAAAGTGCCTGCTTTTCCTGGGACCAATTGGGAGGATTATTAAAAACATGTTCTTAGAAGCTCTTGGTCTAGAATTAATGCCTGCATTCATCCCCACATGTCCCTGCCTTTTCTACCACAACTGAATGTCTCTTAATCTGGAAACATGAAATTTCCCAGAAGATGAAACCTGTGGCAAAGTCCATGCCTATCAACTCTTCTGCAAGAGTATAATTTGGACATTTGTATTGATTTTCTTTATAAAAATTCACTGAGTCAAAATTATGTATTTTGCACTGGGAACATCTGTTTCCCATGGCAAAGCAAGATCTCCCTGTGGATTTTCTAACTCCCTAGTCACTTAACAACTTTGAATCCTATATTCCCTCACTAGTGGAGATTCTTGAAAAGTAAGAGATCAAAGAGATGGCAGTTCAGAAGGGAGAACTCCTATGGGGACTCTGGGATGTGGACTTTAGTCTCAGATTGCTTCAGAGCCAGGCACAATTCTCTGTGTCACCATTACAGATGCAACTTGATAAAACATTTCTATGTAAGTGCAAATTACTCCTTTGCAAAGTGTATGGTTCTTATTGCAAATTCTTTCTTACAAGGTTATCATACTTTGTTTTTCTAATTATTAAAGTACATTCTCATTTTTAAAAATTTTGAAAATAATGGAAAGTATAAAGAATAAAGGATTAAAAGTTATACCTAATCTCTCCTTCTAGAGATAACCACTGTTGACAGTGATATATCTCTTTACAGAAAGTTTATAAATACATATAGATATGATAAAAAGATACATATATATATATTACACAATATCATACTTTTCTTACTACTTTTAACCTGATCCCCCTTTCCGGTTAATGTATTATTACATATTTCCAATTGGTATATTTATTGTGTTTATATTCAAGTTTTCAAAGTTCCTAGAAGTCCTTCCAACTTTTCAAAGTGTCTATGTCACCCCAATACTTTTTTAAAAATATTTATTTTTTAGTTGTAGTTGGACACAATATCTTTATTTTATTTATTTACTTTTATGTGGTGCTGAGGATTGAACCCAGGGCCTTGCATGTGTGAGGTGAACACTCTACTGCTGAGTCACAACCCCAGCGCCCCCCAATACTTTTTTGATAGGTCCAAAGATTAAGGTATATATTTGCTTCGGCAAAGAAGGCACATTCACAAAACCTCTAATTTAAACTTTGAAGTTAGTGCTGAATGACATTAATGGCCACGATAGTATGGTTGTTTTAAAAGCATTCCTTGATTTAAAAAATACGTAAAATATTCAACAATTTTATATATTTTGCCATTCTTCATTCTTTAGATATAACTGTGATCTCAAAAATCAGAGTGACCTAGGATTCTGGAAAGTGCTGAGTAGGCACTTAGTGTCCTTCCTTTTTCTGTTTCCTTAGGTTAGTGCAAGCAAGGATAGGCTCAGAGGTGCCATCAGCTCTAATCATTCTCCACCCTTAACTACCCCTTCTTATTTAGACCCCCTTTAAATACTGTCCATCATATTCTGACCTAGACCATTTCCCTTTGTGTCATTTTCCAAGGAAGAGTTGCTTTATGTAATTGTGACTAGGAGACAAAGAGAGTCCTATGGTCCTCCTTTCCCCTCCCACTCTCCAAAGGGATTTCATTTCCTGAATATACACAATGGCCCTCATGTTGCTCTGAGTTGCTATTCATTTTTTATGCATACTTTCCACGAAGCTGTAGTGTCTATATTAATTTGTCTATATTACTTTCTGTGAACAAAGTATCATGTTAATAGTAGACACTTAAATTATGATGATGTCACAACATCAAATGGTAGCTAAGGATAGCATAATGATTTTCTATAAGAGAATGAAGTAATTTCTATTTTCAGATAAAAGCTGCCATGGGTTGCTAGGAAGATGGAAATCAACATGGACCCATACAGCAATTATTGACCCACACTGTAACACTTGAATGTGTCTCTCTAGATTTACATTCTTGTCTCTTAGGCTTTATATCTCTTCTTTCTCTTCTCCCTTATTATTCCAACACTTTTTTCCCCTATCTTTTTCTTTCCCTTACTCAATGACTTGACTTACCAATCATCCAATCTATGGAAATTGATCCATTTTACACTGAAACTTCAGGTCCAAAGATTTTTCTTTTCTTTTTTTCTTTTTGGTACTGGGGATTGATAGTAAGCCACATCCTCAGCTTTTTTTAAATTTTATGTTTTTTAATTTTGAGAAAGGGCCGTGCTACTTAGGGCCTTGCTAAATTGCTGAGCCTCCTGAGTTGCTGGGATTACAGGCATGCACCATTGCTGGAATTATATTGTGACTAACCCCAAAAGTCTTTTCTTCTACCTAGCCCTCCTTCCTTTGGTACAGTTTAGCAATACGTGCAACTTGGGAAGTTAGGAACTTTCCCTGGACTCATGAATTTGCGCCACCCAGTGGTTTAATCTGATAACTGCATTCTCTGAAAAATCAGTAGTGGGAATTAATAAATGCAGCATAAATAAATCATGACAAATATAAAGCCTGAATTACTGCATCATGGGAAAATTCATAATAAGAAAATTTCATTATATTTTTAAATCCCATTTACTAAAACTTAGGATGTAAATGCTATGTTTAGAGGCTTGATGTTATGGTCTCCACTGAACAAGATGATAAATAAACAGTTCAGGCTATAGAGTAAAGCCCTTACTGCCTCTAGAAGAACCAAACATTCTGTGGAAGAGACACATAATTTGAAGACTCATAAATTGCATATATGATAGTATCAGATAATAGTTTATTTTTCTACAATGAATATTCTTGGATGTATTTATATCTAGAACATATGCCAAGGAGTTAATGGGTTGTAGGATATATGTGTGTGTGTGCACATGTGTGTGCGTGTATGTGTATACACACACACACACACACACACACACACACACACATATTCACCTTCACTAGATTGCAATTGGCTTTCCAAAGTGGTTGTACCAAATACAGAACCACTAGCAATAAAGAAATTGCCCATATTCCACATTCTCCCTAATTTAAAAATCTCAGACTTAATTTTTTCTCCCAATCTGATGGCTTTGAAGTCCTGTCATTGTTCTTACATTAATTTTCTTCCTTGATGGTGAATTTGAGTACCTTTGCATATATTTATTTGATGTTAGACTTTTTTCTTGCTTATAACCACTCCCTATTTTTCTACTGAGATATCATTATTATCCACCCTGTCAACCAAGATGAATTGAAAATTATCCTTAATCCTAATATATTACTTTTCTCCCCATAATAAATTTTTTCTCCTTTTTTTCTTTTTCTTTCCAGTACTGTGGAATGAACCCAGAGTACTTTACCACTAAGCTACTTCCATTCTTTTTTTTTTTTTTTTTTTTGAGACAGGGTTTCACTAAATTTCTGAGGCTAGCCTCAGACTTGCAATCCTTCCTGCCTAAGCCTCCTGAGTTGCTGGGACCACAACCGTGCCCATCATGTCCAGCTAATTATTTCTTCAAACACTTTAAATGCATTTCTTCTTCCCACCTCATTCCAACAGTGTTAGTTTTGAGACTTCATTTATCTCTTATCTGGAATTCTATAGCCCCTGCCATTTCATTTTTCCATATCTTAGTCCACATCACCACTGACCACTGACAGAGGTAGTTCTTCTTTTTTTTTTTTTTTTGGTACGGTGAATTGACCTCTGAGTCACATCCCCAGATCTTTATTTTTCATATTTTATTTAGGGACAGGGTCTCGCTAAGTTGCTTAGGGCCTCACTAAGTTGCTGAAGCTAGCTTTGAACTTGCAGTCTTCTTGCCTCAGTCTCCAGAACTGCTGGGATTACAGGTGTGCTCCCCTTCTGTCAGAGGTAGTTCTAAAACCCATGTTAGTGATATCACGCTCCAATTCAATGTTTCACTGGCTCCCTATGCAAAGCCCTCTTTGCTCTGATCTCTACCTGTGCTATTTCATGTATAGTAACTTTTCT